GATGGCTTCGTGTAAGACACCCAGACTTTCTCCTTCAAGGGAAGCACAGCCGGTCCACCCATCTCGAAGAGCCCGGGAAGCCGCTGTGTTTCTCTTAGCTCTCCACATCTTTTGAGTGAATGGTCAAGATGAGCTACTTCTTGGTGCAGTCTTCATGGATGGGGTAAGGAGGACACCATTTTTGGCCCCAAACTTTCAGATAGCTCTGAGGAAGGTTATTTTACTAAATACCTCCAGGGGATCTCTCAGCAAGTAGCCACTGGGCCACGTACAGGAAGACATTCCGCTACCATGTCAGTAATAAGGAACACAACGTATGCCTGGTGACGTGTACATATTTTGTACATAATATTGTGATAATATATTTTATCTGTGGTGTATGGGCATGTTTACTGCCACTGGCCTGGAGGAGACACATACCCAGAGACAAAGAGCATTCTGCTCTATCCAAGAGGAGGCTAGGAAAGTGGTCTTTGGGGTGTTGTGTGACTGTGGTGAGTGCCAGGATAGACTCTTCATTGGGCCATGCCCGAGGCCTTGTTTCCTGTCTCCAGATGGAGCCCTTTCTCCTCAAACTTCCTTGAGCCCATCGTATTTTTATCTCATGGCAAGATGTCTGGGCAAGGCCATACCGCCAGTGCCTTGTTTAGCTTGGTATGGGGCATCTTAAGCCTTTTGCAAAGTTTCTGCAGGGTTTTACTCTGGGGCCCTGTCGCTGGGACCTGCTGCAGAACTGCTTGGCCAACACTGGGATCCCAGACACAGAAGAGCCTCACGGTTTACATGCATGTCCTTCATCTCGAGTGGCCCCCTTGAAAACCCAACTGCAGTTTTGCAAAGCGAGCCAGCACCTCGGCTGGGCTGTGAATAGCAGGTGTGGCATCTCCTTGCTGCTGGAGACCGGAAGAGATGAGGTTATCCACACAAGGCTGTGGAAAATTATGGGAACCCTGGCACTTCTAAAACCAGCTTTGGGAGGCACACGAGGCTGTTCTCTCCTTACCCTTGGGAGGTCAAGAGAAAACTGCTGCCCTGAACAGTCACGAAAGCATGCCCCACCATGGGCTGCTGTTCTCTTTGATTTGAGAGGACAGGTCAGTACTTAGGGACTTGTATGTGTCCCCACGGGCTGAGCACTAGTTTGGGTAGCCACGCAAACGCCCTCCGAGGCCTGGATAAAATGGGGCAGCTTCCATGGAAAGGCCCAGATTTGTGAAGCACTTTGATGTCTGAACCCGGAGGCTCTGCTCTCGGCTCCTGCCTCCTTACCCCAAGTGCCTCTGAAGCCCGGAGCAGCTAAGGCTGACTTTAGTCCAGCTGTTGCTCTCCAAGCTGAAGAGAGATGGAATGGAGTGGACAGTAGGTGCTGCAGTGAAGAGGGTCCCAAGGGGTAGCAGGGCCGACTTTCTGAGAGCCCCAGCACAGCCCTGTGCTCAGCTGTTTCTCATCTTCACTCCTAATGCCCTTCCTTGAACCAGCAGCTTGGGGACCCTCCAGGGCACTAGTGGGTCTCTGATCTAGGACACAGTAACTCTGTCGGAAATATATGTTCTACACTGCTTGGGGTTAACTCAAAACAGGATTGGCAGACCTTCGGGGTGCATGCAGGACTCTGGAGGAAGGAGAAGACAGGTATGTAGTCGCCTGACTGGCTACCAGCTCTTCTCTTCAGTCTCTCTGGAAAACTGCCCGTCTGATGTAAGGCTGAAGACAGGCCAGAGATGGCTTGGCTTTGCCTTTGTCCCGAACCCCTAAGCGGTCCTTGTGAAAGCCATTGCCAGAACAGGGGATAGAAGCCAGCACCACAAGAGTGTTAGAGTGTCAGGTTCCGGAGCGCCCACTGGGGCTTCCGTGTGTCTGCCCCCTGCTGTGGGAGCTGAGCTTTGCTGAGCTTCATTGCCGGAACAAAAACACTCCAGCGGGATGGAAACGCTTGCCTTGACACTGTCCCCTGAATCAATCTCACCCACATAAAGAAGTTTTTGTTGTTATTGTTTTTGATCCATAAAAGATGAGGGATGCATGAAGCAAGAAAGTGTTTTCGTCCCGCGTCCTCACATTGTTGAAACTTCCCCGGTGTTTAGAAATTGGAACCAACAGAAGAAGGCACAGTGAGTGGGCTGTCATCATATTGAAATCAGTTCCTGAAAGACTAAGGCAAGTCCTGGGGCAGAATCCTGTGATGCCCGAAACGAATCAACATGGTTTTCCTTTGTATCTAACAGTCATGAAAATGCAGCAGGACTCGAGGGTTTGTGCCAAATTCTAAGAATGGCCCTTTCTGAACGATGAGTTAAGGGGGATCTGTGTACAATCGGCTCCCACGTTAAAAAAAAAAGAGAAAATGTAACTTAACAGTTTTGTAAAGGGGAAAGGGGAATCTATGAACTATAAATGTTATTTTATTTTTTGTACATTTTTAAGAAGAAATAAATATTCACACGAGTCAAACCTCAGCATCTGGTGATTTCTGTGGTGACTACTGGTGCTCTTTGCCTTCCAGGAAGAGGATCTGTGACCTGGGGTCTGGACTGCTCTTCAGGCTCTGCCTACGAGGAAGCATAGACTTACTCTCCCACCCCCCTCCCAACCCCCCCACCCTGGTGGCGAGGCTAAGGTGAGAAGAGGCCCAAAGAGGGAAGCAAGAGGCCTCGGGCGGCTCTGGAAGGCCCCCAGCACAGTTGCTCTTGACTGGTTCCACCTGTACCTTCTCATTGGCGCTTTTGATATCTGGAGATTCTTTATGCTTTTTTACATATGTGCCAACCTCTAGGGAGAGACAAAAGTCACAAGGCTCATACTTCAATTCCATAGCCACACTTTCTGACCCTTAAGAGTACAGTCTGTCCTAGGGCTCCTGTGGTAAACCACATTACAGAACTGTCCTCCTGACCCAGCTGGCATCTTCAGTGATCTCCCAAGAGCCTCCACCCCAACAAACAGCCTTCCTAGCATTCTCTACAGCGCCCCTTCTCTCCCCAGGCACAGCGCTAAAACCTTGCCTCCAAAAAGCCTTCCATGGTTGACTTCAACCCCGGTGGGACCCTTGCCCTCTGTGCTCACGCACATCGGGGGCAGGGAGAGCAGGCCTAGGGTAAGGGGTGTTTATTATTTTATTATGGAAACTGGGATGAAATAGGTCAGAAGCTTTTGTTCTCACTATCCACATCTTCCCTCTTCCTCATGTCCATCTTCACACCTACCTGGTCGCTCACCACATCTTCCCCTTTCTTGTGGCTGTCACTGAGAACTGTAATTGTCAACCCCCTGCCTCCAGCTCCCTGAGCCAGGGGTGATTTCCTGGTGCTCCATTCCACTTGTTCCCAAGGGTTCTTCAGCTCTGTACTTCTAGGTTCCTCTCCGCCGGTGGATGGCTAACACTAGGAAACAGTTGAGGGAAGGTGCTGGGGCCTTGGATAAGCCCAAAGCAGAAGAGGGAAGCCATGTGGAGAAAGGACGCTCCAGGTGGCACACCACTCTTGTTCACTGGGCGCCAAATATCCATTACGACCACTTGGGAGAGAATATTTCCAACTTGCCATTGGGTGAGAGCTAAGGTATTTAGAGTGGTGTTTGAGGCAGGACAGAAATTCACAACTGATCTTGAGTCAAGTACTCCTCTTCTGGCAACTTCTTTGCTAGCTATGCCTCCCAAACTCACGTACTCTTCCAAGCCTTCCTCACTTGCAGTGACTGGGATAGCTCAGCATGAGCCCAACCCAGAGCTACCGCTATTGAAGACCTTCAGCCTGGCGACGGCCGACACGCCATTTGTCTTCATGGATGCAACGTGCACTGGTGAGTACTTTATTAGCATGTGTTAATTACGTCTTATTTGCATGCATGTAGAATTTGGTCATGTGCATCCCTCATTACCTCCTCTTGTGCCCCCCTCCTACCCCCTTCATTTTTCCCATCCCCAGCAACTGTTAACTGCAAAGGCTCCTCAGGAGGGGTGGAGTCTTGTCTCCCCCATCCCCACCTTCCACTCCCATCCTCCACTCCCATCCATGACAACATGTTGATGGGTCCAATCTTGTGCATAATGGCGAATTTTTTTTTTTTAAGATTTATCTATTAATTATGTATACAGAGTTCTGCCTGCATGTATCCCTGCCCGCCAGAAGAGGGGACCAGATCTCATTACAGATAGTTGTGAGTCACCATGTGGTTGCTGGGAATTGAACTCAGGACCTCTGAAAGAACAGCCAGTGCTCTTAACCTCTTAGCCATCTCTCCAGCCCCATAATGGAGAATATTTAGCTAAGGGTAGGGGCTAGCAAGTCCAGCTGCCTTGCACTTTTAAGGGTCCTCACCATTTCTCCCAGAGAAACACAAAAATGTCAGTTACTCCACGTCAATTCATATAGTTAGCCTTCCCAAGGTCTGGGTGCTCTGAGTCACCTAGTGGTTAGCTCAATATTGGCAATGTCTTCGCATTCCTAGGGATTTCTGGGACCATGTGCCACACATGGGACTGTGCCACACATCAACGCCGCCCAGCACAGGAGACTCCCAGGCATCAGGCACCTCCAGGGCAGAAATGTGTGGAAATCGCTGGGTTGTAAGTATGCAGGCTCCTTAGGGCCTCGGGCCACCTTCCCACCGTCACCGCCATGCATGACTACTTGTATGTAGAGACTAACGTGTGCAGTAGGAAAAGATCTCTCCACATCTGCTCTCCCGAGGTCCCCATGGCCTTTGAAGGGGCTGTTGGAGCTCCTATTCCAGGGAGCCTCTGTGCATATGGCATTAGCCTTTTGGGCTGCAATGGAGGCCAGTGAGAGCACCAGAATGTGACTGGCTTTCCATCCTGTCACCTCCTCACAGACTCTTCCCTGACAGAGTGCAGAGAGAGACCATTATATTGCTTTCTTCAGACTTTCCCTGATCTTACTGAGGAGGAGTTTGCCAGGGTGTTTGCTTTTGTACCTCCTTTCCCAAACATGAGAGGAAATGGGAGGGAGTGAAGGCCAACCTGGGAAGGAAGGAAGTCATACAAGGATCAACAATGCTTCAAAACTCTTCTCCCACCCCCCCTAAGACACAGTCAGCTGGGGTAGTTTCAGTGAGGAAAATCTCAGGTTCCAGACAGCGGTATTAAATAACTAACATGCTTTAATGCCAGGCAAGAGCTATACAATCAACTGAGAACGGGACCATACCACGTAGTATGACATACGTATTATTAAATTCACTTGTAGAAAGTCCCCCTGGGTGTACGCTGGGGTGCCAGAGCACCCTTCTCCATCTTAAGCGAGGTATGAACAGTCAACTTTGAAGTGTCCTTCAAGTCATACGCCATTTAGTCCCATATCCCGTGGACAGCACAGGCTGCCTCTACTGGGAACAAATCAGACTCCACTTCCTCCAGCTACCCCAGGATGCAGCCAGAGCAATGCCTCACCAGAGTGACGTGTCTTCAGGCACCCAGCCGTCTGGGTGCTATAAAGTCCCTTGGTCAAAATGCATAAAGTTAGGTATGCCCATACCTGAGTGAGGTGAGGTGGGGAAGAGAAGAGGGGAGAAAATGGCCCTGGTGTGTTGTGTCTGTGTGACTAGCCGTTTCTGACACTCTGCATGCCTTCTGGGGACCGCAGGGCTCACAGCCTATGCCTCAGCCTCTTTGTTTCCCTATAGCTGGAAGTCACTTTTTCTAGTTCCCACACTGGTTCTAAGTTCTAGGAAACTCCGCTCAGCTGGAGGTGGCCCCTTGAGGATTCTCCAACACTGACGACACTCATCAGCTGAGACCAGACAGAGGAATCAAGTCCTCAGTTCAGAGAGGGCTGTGTGAGTCCAGTTCCCAGTGACCCGTGTGCTGGGTCCCTTATCTGTTTCTTTTCTACAACTTGGGTTCATTCTGCTGCTCAAAAGCAGACTTTGCCATCTGGCCCAAGGGATTTGGCAAGCCTTGGCACAAAATGTGAGGAAACGGCACTAGGAAAAATTAAGATTACAAAATCTGGGTCTCAAAATTTCAACCTATTAAGTGATTCATTTTAATCCACCATTCAAGTTTGAACTTCTGCCAGGGACAAGTGTCATTGGGGCAGGGGCAGGAGGGAGGCTACAGGCTGGCAGGAACCTCTCGGCACACTGTCCCTGTGGTCAGGTTTATCTTTATGCGGTTCTTGTTCTACAGGAAGTGGCTTGGCAGCAGACAGAGACTTTCCTGCCTCCTCTCAAGCAGGTTCCGCACAGTATCTGGGCCTTCTGATGCCAGCTGTTTTGTGGGGCTCTGGCTTGCCAGGGGCCAGAAGTTCCTATTCCAAGCCCTCATTCCAAAGCAGTGTATGTGAGTGACCAGCCCAAGCAGCAGCTCTACTTTGCTGCATTCAAAGGACGCAGTGAGGGATCCCCATAGGCCTTGGATACTGCAGGCCCCCTCGCTGGCTCTTGGAGCGGGAAAATTACCTAGCTGTCCCACAACTGACTCTTCGAAGGGCACCTGTGGGCAGGAAAAATGAACATTCTAGATCTGGCTCCCCCACCAAGGATGTGGGTTAAACTGTTAGGAAGTCCTGTTTGTTATTCGAGTCTATTGAACATTCATCTGCTTAGAAACGCGTCATGCCTGCATTCGCCACCAGTGCGTTGCTGGGCCTTGGCCCCTGTCCGTGTGGAGCTGTGGATGCCGGAAAAAACGCTTGGAAAACGGCCTTCCTCATGTCCTCCAGCCTCCTTGACTCCGGAAAACCATTCAAACATCAAAACTGGGCCCTTGTCATCCATCATTCCTTCGTAGTTTTACAAAGTATATAAAATATACTTGTTGACTGGGTACATTTGTGCAAAGACAGATACGATTTTAAAACAAGACATTGACATTCATTGTAGCTGGCTTCACGATGAGCAACTAAGAATAGTCTTCGGGAGTAAGATTGTATCAGCAATCACTAGACATGCATTTACAAGGCAAAACACTTGATTTGGTCTGCAATACCCAATGTTTTATATACAGCAGTCTTTTTATAAATCACAAGTAGGCAGTTAGATGGGTCTGGTTTTAGAATGTTACCATCTGTGTCCGATTTTTCAAAGAAACTCGTATTAGCTCAACTCGTGTAAACCTGTGGGAAAAAAAATAGCTGAGCCGTCTTCCCGCATCTCCTCTGTTAATTTACCTTGAAATGTTCACAGCTTAGAAACTACAGCCTGCTGGGGTAGAGAGGGGAGTGAGCCTCTTGTGGTAATGTCCCAGCTCCCTGTAATAACCTCTTCTTCTGTCTTTCAAACAGAGCCCCTATGCGCTGGGTGGAATTCCCTTCTCTTGCCCCCAAGCCTTGGGTTTTAAGATAGAGACATTAGAATCAAAGGGGGTGGAGATAATGGTAAGATAAAAAGTCATCTGGCGGGGACACCGCGAAGTGTGCTCATGCTCTCCACAGCACACGGGGCTCTGGGCATCCCCACAAAGCATCCACGACAAAAGAAGCAAGAGGCAAAGGTGTCACAGGAGGGCACATCTGACCCAAGAGGGGACAGCGTCACCATCAATATTGTTTGGCCAAAAAAAAAAAAAAAAAAGTTTCAACGCTAATCAGAAGACACAAGCAGCTGTAGCGTCCTTGGGGTGCACGGCTCAGAACTGGCCAGCACTGCTGGGGTCGCACTGTAGGAGACGCACGATGGATGGGTCGCTCTTGGCCCCTCGGATGAATTCTTCCAGGGAGAGCTTTCCTAGGAAGCAAGAGGACCAGTGAGTGTAGCCCACAGCCCTTGGCGCTGTATGGGGAGCAGCAGGAGCCCACGGCTTCCCTCCCTAGAAGCCAGGAGACCATGAGGAAGGGACCCCACTTCTCTGCTCGCCATGACATCAGCTACCACCACCAGGACCCACGGCTTGGAGAGGGTGTTGGCTCACCCTGATCTGAATCTCTGCTCTTCTGCCTCTGCCTACCAGGAGGGGCCAACTCAGTGCCTGAAGAATGAGTATCCACCCCCCTCATTTGAGTTGCAGGCTCTTGAGATGCAGGGCTGTGGCCATGAAGCCTTTGGTTGCTGTGCACAGGTGTGCGTGGGCAGAGCAGGAATGTAGGTTCTTCTGAACAAGTGAAGGCAATAGCATCTTCATCCAAAGGAGAATAAAGGAATGTGTTCTAGATAGGGGGTGACCCACTGGTCCCTCGACCCAGGTGGCTTGAGATGGAAGCCAGGGACCTGTTTTTCCCCCACTCCTTTTCTTCCTTTTTTTGATATGGACTCTCACTATTAGCCCGGGCTTCCTTTATGCGCTAGACCTCTTGCCTCTGCCACCTCAGGAACTTGGATCCTGGTATCCCTCCTTTTCCTCAACTTTCTTCCAGTCAGGGTTCTCTGTCATTGTCATCGTGGAGAAGTGGTCAGGGGCTGTGCTCCCCATTCCTGTCACATCCACAGTGGCCCTTTGAATGAAGGGACTCATTCACTGGTCAATTGGGAACAGAACTCCTGGGCACCTTTGCCCAGCTTGGTCCTTCCTTTCCTGGAGACTTAGCCCTATCCACACTTCCAGAGATGGGCACCAGGCCTGGCAGACTCCTCCAGGCCCATGAACTTCAGGGCCTCCTCAGCTGCTCTCCTTTGCTCAGGGACTGCAGGCTGAGCCTGAGGTGATGGGGGCAGATGTACCATTTGAACGCCTTGAAGTCTCAGGCACTGGCAGTGGGAACCACAAGCTCTAGAATGCTTGGTACCCAACATAAATTCTCTGCCCTTTTGCGCAGACGCCCATGTTGACTTGCCTGTAGCTGCAGAGGCCAGAAGTGAAATGCAAAGACTTAACTAAGAACACTTATGATGGCAGCAGGCTTTATGTGAAGTCTGCTCTCCTGGTGAGAAGGGACAGCAGCCTCAGCCCCTATGCCCTGAAGCCAAGGCCCGAGCTAAAGCAGTGCGTCTTCCGGGTGCTCAGCAATCCCTACTCCTCCTTCCCTTCTGCCTCCATCCCTATATCTTTCTTTATTTAAACAAATCTTTCATTAGCAAAGCTGGGGTAGTGTTGTCAGCTGCGCTGGGAACAGTAACCCAGCCAGGGCCCTTCGGTCCTATAGAAACAGCACCAGTGGCGAGGCTTTGCCATTGCCTGCAAGCCACACAATAGAGGTGGCTTGTCTCCCATCCTTTAATCTTTCTCTCAGAAGGTTGGATTTTAAAGCCACCATTCTCCCCAGACTACTAGAACCTGTGGTTCAACATCAGCAAGTTCATTAGCTGTTAAAACAACCCCATGTTTGCTTGAACTCTGCAAAACAAACGACGTGCTGTGAATCGAGGCACATGAGGGGAACAGGTCAGGCCCCTCTGTTGAGACAGTAAACAGACAGGTTTGCACCTCACAACCCAAGATTCGCAGGGAGCTGGTGCCCCATGTGTGGGGGTACAAAGAGGCTTGCTGTATGTAGACCCTTCTCTTGGACACAGCATGTGAAGCTGAACCTGGCTCATTTCTGCACCGCTGAGGAGACTTGCTAAGTATCAAGAGCTGTAGACCTGGGGCCAGAGAGACAGCTCACTGGGTAAATGTGTCTGCTGCACAAACCTGAAGACCCAAATGTGACCCTGAAACCTATGTAAAGGTGAAGGGAGAGAAACTGACCCCATGAAGCTGTCCTCTGACCTCCATGCGTGCACACACAGACAGGTCATGTAATAAGATGCCTAATATCACACACAGCATAATAAAGAAAATAAAATTTACATTTTAAAAATGAGGGTCTGGAGAGATGGCCCAGCGGTCAAGAGCACTTACTGCTCTTGCAGAGGACCGGGATTTGATTCCCAGCACCCATGTTGGGCAGATCACACCCACCTGTAGCTCCAGTTCCCGGGGGTCATATGCCCTTTTCTGACCACTGTGGTACACACACACTCATATGGGCATGCTTCTACATACACATACACATACACAAATAATAAATGGATAGAAATTTTTAAAGAGCTGTGAAGCTTTTGACACTGTGGGTCAGCTTTGACTTAGCACCATAAACTCAGGTACTTCTGGATAGCATTTCCAGATTCAGCACGAAAAGTAAGAATGCCAAAATAGTTTAACTTCAGTTGAATAACAAGCAAGCCCTTAGCGGAAGCCGTGCCCCAGAAAAAAGCATACAGGCATAGTTATACCAAAAAAAGAAGTCACTGTTTCTCAGTTGTTTGGGTCTCCTGCTTTCTATGTGGCAGTCACATGTGCAGAAATCATTTTTTATATTTACAGATACGGTTTCCTTACGGAGCCCAGGCTGTCCTCAAACGTGTGGTCTGCCTGTCACCACCATACCAGACTTGTCTGTTTTGTTTGAACTCAGCTTTCCTGTCTGCTTTGGCTTTGTGCATTCATTTATCACTGTGCCCTCCACCCAGCTCCAGCGTCCACCCAGCTCTAGCGACCACCCAGCTCTAGCGTCCACTCAGCTCTGGTGTCCACCCAGTTCCGGAGACCACCGAACTCCAGGTCCACCCAGGCCAGGTGGCTCTCAGAGCACCTTGTGTCAGGTCCCTCTAGTGGAGATGCCCTGCCTGGACCCCACCAACAGCCCAGCCCAAGCCAAGCCCTCCAGCATCCTACCATCTCTGTTGGTGTCCATCTGGCGGAATATCTTTTCTGTCCTTTTCTCTGGGGTTGATTCATCTTCAGGCATTTTCATGACAGAGGACACCATTTTGTAGATTGCCTAGGAACAGAAGCGACAGGGTGATGATGTGGCAGCATGTTCAAACCCCCGGTAGCTTTACCAAGTGCCAACGCTGGGGGAGCTGCATCTGCCCCCGGGTTTTGCCACAGGACAGGATGTATCGCCCAGCAGAAGCAAGGCCAGCAGAACCCGTTGTCACCAGTGATGCTCTCGGCAGCGCCAACTGGCAAAAAGCCCACAACTGCTACCTGCACTGAGGTAAATGCGTCAGGGCGTTCCCGATGGTTAGGTTAAAATCTGAGAGGGGTGTAAGTGACCCTTCCCTGCACCCAGTCGGCCGCCTCTCTCAGGCCTCCATCTGTGTAACTGCTATGGCTGTAGCACTTTATCCGAGCTGCTGGCCACAGAGGGAGTGATCGTTTAAAGTGGGGAAGCTGAGACCTGAGATCTCCACGCTTTCTGGTTAACACCAGACTAATGGAAGATGGAACCATTGGCAAAACACCCCCCACACACACACTACACAAACACTATGCACACATATCAAACCACACCCCCCCACACACACTACAACACACTACACACACACCACACTAAGCATCTTTATGAGCTTATAAGCTCAGGAATCTCAGAGCAGCAACAGTGCCATATCTGACCTCAGCAGTAACAACATTGTATCTGGACCTCAGCCCCCCTCTCCCGTCAGTTTACAGCAGCACAGCTTCTTCCCAGGGCAGGCCTTGGCCACCTCAGGACTTGCAGAGGTGTCAGCTGAGGACTTTTTTTTTATAGACAAAGGAGGGGCTTAGTTTTTCCAGATACTATGATCTCTTTCAGATCTGCTTGTACCTCTGCTGAGGCTGATTTGCCTGTGTTGGTGACTGGTCCCAGGAGCATCTTGGGAGATGCTCTCCTGAGGTTGCTGTCAGTTCTCACCAGCTTGGTCACGTGTTTGAGTTTCCTGGGTCAGGAGCTTCATTCACACACCTTTCCGAGAGTTCGACTGCCCGCCCCCAAACCCCTACTCAAGTACTAGGATAGATGGAAATATGACCGTCCTGCGGGAAGCCAGGCATGCTCCCCTTCCCTTCCGTCTCAGTGGGTGATCGATCGCCTGCCTTCCTCTGCACAAACGACTCCATAGTAGCCTATTTGAGATGGTTTCATTCCACTTATGCTAAAGTGTGACTGGCCGGGAGACCCTCCTTCTGTGACTGTGGCAGTCACAACTGGCCGCTCAATAGGCCACCGCTGGTGCTACTGGAAGGTCTTGTGTAGCATAGGTTTAGAGGTTTTGTTCCAGAGTGGCTGTCCCCACCCAGCTGCCTTCTCTCGCTTTCCTCCTAGTGTGCTTCTCTGTGCAATGTCCCTCTCTGTCCCTCTCTGTCCTCAACGCGCATTTGTATATAAAGTTTAACATTCTGCAAAACTCACTAAAGGTTCTGAATCTGCCAACGGCTGCCAATAGTGCCCCCCCCATGCTTATCTGCTACCATCGCAGATAAATGCAGGGACTTACAGATTTGGAAGGTCCCGCAGACACCTGCCCCTCCCCTCACAGAGCCCCTGCCCTTAGTTGACCCCCTCCCCCCGTTCTCAGTTCCATTCATTTACCCAGCTCACTCATTCACCAGAAGGTTTCTGTGTGAGTACGCCACACCAGGAGCTGGGCCTGGCTCTGCCTTCGTCCTCTGGGGTTTTTTACTATGAACCAAAGCTGGCAGAAGCCCTTGCATGCAGGACCTTGCACGTCTGGCACACAGGATGAGTGCAAGAGTGCTGTGGAGCGTGCAAAGGTGACTGTGGCATGATGGGATGTTAGGATTGCAATGATGAGGGTTGAGGCAGGCCTCCCCGAGGGCCCACCATGGAGGCAAACATGGAGAAAGCATAAGGCCTTAAAAAGAGAAGCATTTGATCGGCTTGGTCCTCCCACAGCTCACCCGTCCTTTAGAAAGGAGCTTGGAGGATACCACACTGCACCCCAGAAAGTGCCCCACCTTTCAGGGATCACTGTGTAGATGGGAACAGGCACCTCAGCAATGTCTTAGTAGTTGTCTTGAAAGCCCTTGTCTCCTCAGTGCCCTAGCGATCTGTTAGAACTCATTGATCTTTCAAGAACTCTAGGTCTCAAAGGCCTGGGCTAATCAAATTCCCCTTCTGGGGACTTTGATGGCTAACACTCCCACTTCAGTGGAGACAGACATGAAAGATGGATGGAGAGGAAGCCTGCACCCTGTCTGTAAGGATAAAGAAGTAGAACTGGTTTCTGAGAAATGCCGCCAACCTACAAACAGCTCCCTCTCCAGGGCTCCAGCGCTCCGGAGACTGGGATGACGATGTGCAGACTCGGGAAGGTGAGGTTCCGGTTAGAAGACGGACCTTTCCATCTTTGTTTCAGAGATCAGGTTAGATTCATTCTTTGGGCACCAACTAGCCAATAGGATTCGTGGACTGTTCCCCAGCCCCAGTTTACTATGTGGTTGATGCTCTTTTCTCTTCCCCAGACCTGGCTACTAGAGCACAGAGAAGCTGGTTCTAGAGAAGACATGACCCCAGGCAGTGCTCAGAGCCACACCGCGTCTTTTATTAGCACCTTCTTCCCCAAACGTAATGGGATTAAATCATTGAGGAAGCAGGCTACTTTCCCATTTTACTTAGCAGTGTCAGTAAGAGGCCTGGCAGAGGCGGCCTGTTTTTAATTAACCTAGAAGGGTCCCTTAGGGACACACTCAGAAGCCAGCTGGGGCTGTTCCCTGGTAGGCTCAGGGAGATCCTCACCTTGGCTTGATGGTTCCTGCTTCTTTGCGGTACTTTCTCCTTTCCTCCCTCCCTTTTTTCCTTCCTTCCTCCCTCCCTCCCTCCCCTCTGAAGGAACAAGCTCTTAGGATCAGTGTAAAAAGACACACTGGAATGACAGGGTTGTGGACCAACTAAGACCAGGCACAATTCTAAGAATCAAGGCACTTTCTCTGAAGGAAACCAAACCTACTCTTGCTGAGAAAGTTTAGGATCTTCCCTCAGAGAACCAGCCCCTCAGGGCTCTCTGATGCAGACGAAGACCAAAGAAGCTGAGCAGCGCGATAGTTTGTGGATTATAGATAAAGACATGCTTGCAAAGATTTATATGCCAGGATAAAAGACTATGAAAACTTTTTTGTTGTTGTTAATAGTTTTGAAATACAACCAGTGTCTGCATGTCTGGAATGGTACTAATCATTCCTCACGTCTGCCTGGAAAGCTAACTAAATCAGCATCCTTCACGGAATTCTCCTGAGGATTTCAGGTACTGTAAAGGACAGAGACCAGCATTCCAATCCCCCCTTGTATTTGGTTATTTAAAGCATTTTAATCTTATGTGCATGAATGTTTGCCTGGAGGCCAGAAGAGGGTGTCAGATTCTGTGGTGGTGTGAATGAAACTGGCTCTCACAATCTCATAGAGATAGGCACTATTAGGAGGTGTGGCTTTGTTGGAGTAGATATGGCCTTGGAGGAAGTGTGCCACTGTGGGGGTGGGCTTTGAGGTATGTAGCCAGCACCACATCTGCCTGCACACCACCATTCTCCCCAGCATGGTGATAATGGACTGAACCTCTGAACTGTAAAGAGAGCCACCCCAATCAAATGTTTTCTTTAAAAGAGTTGTCATGGTCATGGTGTCTCTTTACAGCAATGAAAACCGAATTAAGACAGTCCCTGGAACTAGAGTCAAAGGCTGCTGTGAGCAGCATGCGGGTGCTAGGAATCTACCTGCAGCCTCTGGAGGAACAGCCAGAGTTCAGAACCAGTGAGCCATCTCACTAGCCTCTCTCACTCCCCTCTCAATGAAGACATCTCATCTTATACGTCTATAGAAGCTGTACTTGGGAAAGAATAACCTGGAAGTTTTTCTGCTAAAGGTAGGGTCTGAATCCACTTTACCTGTTTTACCCTTTGTGAGCCTGAGAGCCTCAAAGATCATAAGCCACAGATTCATACACTGCCTATTGTCCCACACCAGCCTCACAGGGTACTCCAGTCAGGACTTGATCATAATTCTAAATTTTCTATAGGTCCCCATAAGATTATCAGTGCTCCCAACCAGAAGAAAGTAGTCTGGAAAACTGCACCCACATTCCCCAAAAAAATGAACTATGGATATATGGATATTTTCCTTTGTTTAGAATGTTGGTTACAAGTTGTTATGGCTAATGGTCAGGAGAAAAGCTAAACAAAGGATATTAGATTCAGAGTTGTT